GTGTGTGTGCATGTGTGAGTGTGTGCGAGTGAGTGTGTGTGTGTGTGCATGTGTGTGTGTGTCCCCAACTCACAGCTTTGCGGCCGACTTTCCCGTCTCTGATGCTCGTACACCAGAGTCAGTTAGCTTTAGGTAAAAACGGTCATCAGACTGGTGTTGTGCACACACACACACACACACACACACTCACACTCACACACGCACACTCACGCGCACACACACGCCTGATAAACGAGGCCTCTCTCCTGATGAAGCTGGAGCACAAGCCTAAGACAGCCCTGTGTTTCTGGTTTGCAGCTGTGGAGACCTTCGTCCTGATCCCTCAGCACACCTCTCCAGACTACGCCGTGGTGGAAGTAGACGCTCTGTATGATGTGGTGGCTGACGCTCGTCATCGCTGGAACACAAATGTGAACCAACCTCGAGTCAAACCCACACAGACGGTGAACTCCTGCTGAACCTCCTCTCTCTGCAGGACGTGGTGCTGCTGGGCGACTTTAACGCAGGCTGCAGCTTCGTGACAAGTTCTGAATGGCAGCAGATCCGCCTCTTCACTGACCAGAGTTTCCTCTGGCTGATCCCAGATCAGGCCGACACCACAGTTACCCACACCAACTGTCCCTACGACAGGTACAGACGGACACCTGCACACTAAAACACGCATCCACCCTCCTCACCTGGCTGCTCTGTGCAGGATCGTGGTCTCCTCTGACATGATGAAGGGAGTGGTGGAGGGCAGCGCAGGAGTCTACGACTACATGCTGGATCTGGACCTCAGCCTGAGCCTGGTGAGAATTATTTTAGCGCTTCATTGTTGAGATTTTAGTGGAAATGTTATTTAGAAACGTTGTTTGTTTGGAGATGAAGGACTCTCAGGAAGCCTGCTCATCAACAGCCTCAGCTGGGAGAAGCTAAGTCTTCCTTTGACCTGACTGGCGAGCTGTTGGCTGGTCCGCTGACCTGGCTGTTGTAGCTGTAGCAGGCCAGTGCAGCTGAAGGCACCTCCAGCAGGTTAAAATAATCCATCATAACCTTTGGGTGACCCCTCTTCTACCGCACCACCAGGGACCAGATCTCTGGAGGACATGACACCTTTCAGGAGTGGGTTGCTTCAGTACATCTGCAGTGGTCTCTAGTAGGAATGAATGTCTGGGAAGTTGTTCTCAGGGGGAAGATAGATACCGGTGCACAGCGTTGTGCCGTTTGAACACGTTCAGTTAACGATCGTTGCTTTGATGTTTTTTTGTGAACGTGAACTGAACTCGCGCTTATTTTGCCAGAAGAACGTTAAAGTGAGAGGGCTGGTTCTGGCGCGTGTGAACGGGTTGATGAACAACGCTCTCTCGCCGTTTGTGAGCTCCAGATCTCCACGGATCTAAAGCCTCAGCTAAAACATCCTGTTAACCAAAGACTATGAAAGTAGACCTGGAGACTTGGCCCCCAGAGGCAGCAGTGGTGTCTACTCTTCTATGTCTACGCTGTGGAGGATGGACCTTTCTAATCCTAGAGTTTCACCGTCTGTTTTCTACCAGAAGCTACTGCAGGAGATAGGTGTAGGAGACTATTTTCTACCAGAAGCTACGGCAGGAGATAGGTGTAGGAGACTATCTTCTATCAGAAGCTACTGCAGGAGATAGGTGTAGGAGACTATTTTCTACCAGAAGCTACTGCAGGAGATAGGTGTAGGAGACTATTTTCTATCAGAAGCTAACACAGGAGATAGGTGTAGGAGACTATTTTCTACCAGAAGCTACTGCAGGAGATAGGTGTAGGAGACTATCTTCTATCAGAAGCTACTGCAGGAGATAGGTGTAGGAGACTATTCTCTAACAGAAGCTACTGCAGGAGATAGGTGTAGGAGACTATTTTCTACCAGAAGCTACTGCAGGAGATAGGTGTAGGAGACTATTTTCTATCAGAAGCTACTGCAGGAGATAGGTGTAGGAGACTATTTTCTACCAGAAGCTACTGCAGGAGGTAGGTGTAGGAGACTATTTTCTATCAGAAGCTGATGAAGGAGATAGGTGTAGGAGACTATTTTCTATCAGAAGCTGATGAAGGAGATAGGTGTAGGAGACTATTTTCTATCAGAAGCTGATGAAGGAGATAGGTGTAGGAGACTATTTTCTATCAGAAGCTAAAGCAGGAGATAGGTGTAGGAGACTATTTTCTATCAGAAGCTAACACAGGAGATAGGTGTAGGAGACTATTTTCTAACAGAAGCTAAAGCAGGAGGTAGGTGTAGGAGACTATTCTCTAACAGAAGCTACTGCAGGAGATAGGTGTAGGAGACTATTCTCTAACAGAAGCTAAAGCAGGAGATAGGTGTAGGAGACTATTCTCTAACAGAAGCTAAAGCAGGAGATAGGTGTAGGAGACTATTCTCTAACAGAAGCTAAAGCAGGAGATAGGTGTAGGAGACTATTTTCTATCAGAAGCTAACACAGGAGATAGGTGTAGGAGACTATTTTCTATCAGAAGCTACTGCAGGAGATAGGTGTAGGAGACTATTCTCTAACAGAAGCTAACACAGGAGATAGGTGTAGGAGACTATTCTCTAGCAGAAGCTACTGCAGGAGATAGGTGTAGGAGACTATTTTCTATCAGAAGCTAACACAGGAGATAGGTGTAGGAGACTATTCTCTAACAGAAGCTAACACAGGAGATAGGTGTAGGAGACTATTTTCTACCAGAAGCTAAAGCAGGAGGTAGGTGTAGGAGACTATTCTCATGTTCAGCCTGTATGGAACGCTCATAGTGACCCGTTGGTCAGAGATAATCATTAAAAATGTTTTCAGTGTTCCACACTTTAAGATAAGTTAAGGCTAAGTTACAGCTGATGGAGCTACCTTTAGCCTTTAGCTCCATCACGTTTCCTTGTTGCATTCTTCCTGAACCGTAACCAGCGGTTCTGATTCTGCCGATGTTTTACGGACCTGCTTCCATGCTGTGGTTCGTTTTTAAAACACAGCAGTTTTGTTTACCTGTTTTCCCGCTACAGGTAAACAAAACTGCTGTGTTTTAAAAAGGAACTACAGCATGGAATCAGAGATACGACACAGCAAGAACACACCTACGATGCTTCACACACCTGCTCAAACTTCAGGCTCTTTGTTCCCATGGTGAAGTCAAGTGCACCAAACGTGCACGTGCTTCACCGAGAAAAACCCAACTGGGTTGAAATAAGCGTCTCTCTGGACTTCCTGCAGCTCGTCTCTGTTAGAATCAGCCTGTCACAGATGTACTTTCCAGCAGAGGAACAACACCTACTCACTGATTAACGCCTACAGACGACACACCTGAACACAGAACTGGTGTTCAGGTGTGTCGGTGCGCTGGGCTTGGCTTGTTAAGCGGCTGGAGCAACAGAGGGAAGAAATCTAAACGTCCTAAGTTGGATCAATGTCTGCTGTCTCCTGCAGGCGTTGGCGGTTAGCGACCATTTCCCCGTGGAGGTCACGCTGGTTGGTTCGGACGGGGCCGACTGAATCCAGATCAATCCGAGTGCGACTCTCGTCGAGGACAAGTCCGAGTTCGAGGACCAGAATAAAGAGTGACACGTGAAAAATCAGCATAAAGAAAAGAAGTGTGTGTGTCGTTGTGTTCGCTGCTCCACACACCGACACCTCAAGCTTCAACCTCTAACCTCTCCAGAGTTTCAGGAAGTAAATAAATCCAGTTTCACACACGTGGAGGTTGCTCCGGAAACCTTTAACCGACCACACAACTGCACCTTCAGACAGGAACGACACAGAAGAGTCGGCACAACACAAACGCAGGAAATCAGAGACAGTTGTGTTATTGTCCTTGAATGTGAAACAACAACAGGCACCGAGGTCTGCTGCTGCCGATGAGAACAGCGCAGCGCTGCCCGACCCCGACCCCGGGCTCCTGCCGGGCGCTGCATCCATTCCCGCTAACGTGAGTATGACGGTCTTGCTCTCCACGCCGTGCTAGGCCTTCTTCTGCTTCAGCAGCTCCATGTACCCCCGCAGGGACTTCTGGATGGACTCTCTGGTGATGAAGCTGACAAAGTTCTGGATGTCAGCCTCTCTGTTGGACGTTAGTCTGTCGATCGTCGACTTCCTCATCATGGACTTGGTGATCTGCCTGGCGTGTTCTGCAAGGCGAAGGCAAGAACAGTCGATTACGCTCGATTCCTGACGAGTCACCTTCAACACTCGTGTCTACAAGTCCCGCAGGACGGCTCGTAACGGCTTCGGGTTCGTTGTACCTGGAACCGCCAACCACTTGTTCACCGACTTTACGGCGGCGGGGAGGACCTGATCCTCGGGCACCACCTGGTCCACCAGTCCAACCTTCAGGGCATCCTGAGGTTTGTAGAGCAGCCCCAGCTGCAGAGCCATCTCTGAGTTTCGGAGGCCTATCGTGTTCATTAGCGTGTCCTTAAACCTGCGGAGGCAGGAGCGGGCGTTAACAACCGAGACCCCCCACAAACTAAAACGCGTGCAGGCCCTTACCAGAACGGTGCTACGATACCGAGCTGCGTCTCGTTCAGACCAATGCTGTAAGCGGGATTATCCGCCATGATCCTGTAGTCGCACGTCAACGCCATCAGACAGCCGCCCGCCGGACTGGACCCCTGTGGAGGAGAGCAGGAGGGTCACTGCGTTGGCTTTAGGGCAGGGGCATCCAACGTGATGTTGGGCAGCCCTGAACCTCGTCGTTCCAGCAGGCCGACGGCGTGGACCCACACCTGTTACCGGTTTCTGACCAGCTTTTCACAAACATTAGCTCTACGTTTGAGTGTGGGCCCTGGACCCTGGAGGAGCACTGACGATGTTCTCATACGTACGTTAACAGCTGCTATGGTGACCATGTTGGAGCTGTAGAGTTTCAGCCACAGTTCCTGAACGGACTTCCAGAACTCGCCACAGCGCTCCGGGCTCTTGCCGTACATTTCCAGGATGTCCAGGCCGGCTGAGAACACCTTGGGCTGGCTCTGAATGGAAACCAGCCACAGACACCGGGGGTGAACTTTGAACCACTGACGGTAGCAGACACACACCTGTGTAATGGCGACCGCCACACCGGTTTAAACGAGTCGGTAACGCACCGACGTGATGATGAGGCCCCGGCAGCCCTTGTCCATCTCCAGCTTCTCCAAACTGATGCAGAGCTCAGTGATGAAATCCAAGCTGAGGCTGTTGACCGGAGGACTCTGCATGTGCATCACCGCCACACCTGCAGACGACAGCGGCGCACCTTGAGTCTGACCCTAACCCTACTCACCAGCAGGTGAAACGGTCTCATCTGAAATCAACAACATGCTGAACCTCCAACAGAATCACCATCTCCCAGCTGGGATGTGACGCGAGTCACTCTCAGCTACCAACACGGTTTCAAGTCAGTATCTAGTCAGTTTAGCCTCTTCTAGAATCAGCAGCATTAACATGGAGGTCTGCAGCGTGATGTCGTCAAGGGGAGGAGGGGACTCGAGACATTTCTCTTTGATTGGCTGCCTCCTCTTGGGGAAACGCAGTTCTATTGGTCAGCGCTCTAGGCTCGTGTAAATGATTGGCTGTGCTGTAGAGGCTGGGGGAGGGGCTTAGGGTGGGGATGAACTATGGCCGTGTTCGAGATGAGCCGGTTCTGCCCAGATTAGACCAGCGGTGATCGGCGAGCGGTGCATGCCGGTTAGATTCGTGTCCGACTTGACGCCGACTTGCTCTGACGTCATGCCTACGTAGGCTACGACAACCTCGTGAGATCAAGGCGGCCGCAGATTTTGGAGCAGTTGCTCTCCACTGGCTGCAAAACCTAGAGGATGACGGGAAACGCCTGGCTCTCACCTGATCTAAGATCTGATTGGTTCACATTCTGATCCAAACATCCGGTGGTAGAACATGAAATGTTAGTTGGTCACATGTATTCTGTAAGTCATGTAACGTTGATGATGACAACTATATAGGCCATAAAGAGAAATGTGTTTTGTGTTCTTTTGTCACGTTTCCTATGAGCACACTGAAGCTACAGCTGATGACCTTTACTTATTATTACAGTCATGTCTCCATATGCATGATATGATATCCACAAGCACGTGAGGATGTGTTTCAGCTGCTTACAGGCACCAGAATTAACATAAATAATTAAACACGTATGAACTCTAACGGGATATCTTCATCCATCGTCACCCGCGAGCTACACGTGTAGGGACATCTGTCCGACTTAAACGCCGGCTTTCAGCCACGCCCCCTGCTGCATCCGTCTGCTCTCGTCTGTTTTCCAGGTGAGGCGCTGCTCAACTCGAACACGGCCTGTGTAACATTAGCTTCCCTTTATGATGAAACAGGGTCAGATAGTCACCTTTAAGCCGTTTTATTAATGTCTTTAGAAAATGTGAAACTATGTGCCGCAGCTTTAAAGAGGAAGACGTCTCCTCCGTGGGACATTCCGTGCCGTCTCGAACGCGTTTTCCGTCCGACGTCTGCCAGTCGGCCCCTCTGCCTGAGCCAGAGGCCGGAAACGGGGATGTTACAAATGCAGCAGTCGCGCAGGCGGGGTCTGTTGGCTGCTCTAGGCTGCTAGTGGTTTACTGTGACGCATCGATGCTGTGGTCTGTTTACATGTTCTTGTAATCTGGTGTTTACTCTGGCTGGCAGCGCTGGAACACGTACGATAACGGCGGTGAACAGGTGAAAACGGAGCATCAGAGGTCTGAGAGGGCGAATGATGGAGATGATTCCACAATCCCGATCCTGACCTGTGTTCTGATCCAAATCCACCTTAACCTTGGAGGAGGTGGAGGAGGAGGAGGTGTTCCTGTGCTGGGGGGTCAGGATGGGGGACACACACGGTCTGCTGCCATGATGACGCGTGCTGGAGGTCAGCTGGGACAAAAGGCCTTTTGGGAACACACACACACACACACACACACACACACACACACACACACACACACACACATTAGTCTAAATGTATCAGCACAAGAGCTGAATATATCCACTTAGATCCAAGGTACGCATGTATCTAATAATAATAATAATAATAATAATAATAATAATAGCTGTATTCTGGCTGTTGACGCGTGTTTCCCGTCTACAGGCAGCTGCTGACAGCGCTTGTTAGGACACGTCTACACACTCAGCAGCTGGTTTCACGTGAACATCTGGCATGACATTCACATGCAGAGTTGAGTAAACAACAACAACAACATTCGCATGCAGAGTTAACAACAACAGGAGGAGGAGGCTCGGCTAGCTGGAGCGTGACCTTTGCGCTAGTTTCTGTTCGCCGCAGACAGCACCGAGAGCGCGGTCTCACCGCGGCGGAGGTCACGCAGGAAAAACGCACCTGGGAGGAGAACGTGAACGTTGACACGTGCATACCTGAGACGCCAAACTTGACTCCTAAACAAGATCTGACAGCCATCATCCTCCTTAAGAAAAGCGGCTCTTCTTCTCCTGTTTCCCTCGACCCGCTAGCGCCCCCTCTGGTCACCCGCGACACAAGCCTGAAGCCCGGGCGCAACGTGGGCCCGCTTGGGCGCCATGTTGAAAAACACCATTTAGAGGCCGGCCGCCATGTTAGATAGGTCTCCTTCGCCCCACAGTGCACTCATTTCTACCTTCTACAAAGGAACGTGCTAACTAAAAAACACATTTTATTAAGCTTTTCACAAAATCAGATATGGTATGGCATGATAATTAAAATATAGATATAATTACACTAAATAAAACTAAATATAAAAATCTATCAGTTAGAATTGAAGTTAGATGCAAGATGGGCGGAGTTAAACGTTTGACCCCGCTCACTGAAACCAACCGCTGAAGAGGGTGTGTGTGACAGAGAGAGAAGTAGCAGCAGAAAGGAGGTGGGCATGGATTTTCATTCTGTTTTAACGCTACTAAGCATTCATGTCGTGGAGAAAATGTTCCTAACCTGGACTTAAAAAGTCTTTTTCTGAGTCCTAGATTAATATAATTCTGGCACGACGTACTGTTGATGAGATATAGCTTTGGGGAAAAGTGTTATGTGATCATTTTTGGGGGGAAATATTATACCTTTACGTGGGGAAAATATGTTTCATTTTTATTGTTGTTATACACGCTGAATATAGAATAAAGTAAAACCAAATTAACTAGTTAGCAACCAGTATTATTACGCACAACCCCCAAGGTTGTAGAAATGGGATGTGACAAAGTGGATTGCTGTCATTACTCCATTTATACTTTAATATGCCTTTAAGAAGCACACTCTGTTTCTAGCGGAGGCTGAGAACAGGCCGCCAGAACGGGGAACCTGCTGTGGGCTTTTCTAATTTCACTGTTTCTGCCTTCTCCAACTCTTATTTTAATATTTATTGTGTTTCCTTCTGATTAGGAGAATTCTCTGCTGAAGGACACCTTTTGAGGCAGCAAGGTGGTGTGGCACCAGGTCCTTCAAAGGAAAACTTTCCCTTCCCCGGAAACTGGTCTTGGTGTCGGGTGCAATAATAAAAAATGGTACCAAAATAGTTAAAAGACATACTATAAATACAAAAGAGTAGAATAAAGAATAATAAGATCATCAGAACAGATTTGAATCAAAAGATGGCATCTATTTCATTTAACTTAATGATCTGCGCTCTCTATATGTTTCACTGAAATCCACCGAACAGCTTATTTGATTATCATTGTTGTGCTGACATCATAGACATGAATCCATGGACGACTGGGCGCTGGAGAGCATCGCGGCCATATCAGATGGGTCTCCTCTCTCTCCAAAGTCAGTGCAGAATGAACAAGTGATAGAATTTTACATTTTAATTTATTTAGTTTAATTATATTTATAGTTTAATTATCATGCCATACCATATCTGATTTTGTGAAAAACACTAATAAAATGTGTTTTTTAGTTGTGTAAGCACGTTCCTCTGCTGCTCCAGCTACCAGGCCCAGGTTCTGCTCCAGCTACCAGGCCCAGGTTCTGCTCCAGCTACCAGGCCCAGGTTCTGCTCCAGCTACCAGGCCCAGGTTCTGCTCCAGCTACCAGACCCAGGTTCTGCTCCAGCTACCAGACCCAGGTTCTGCTCCAGCTACCAGGCCCAGGTTCTGCTCCAGCTACCAGGCCCAGGTTCTACTCCAGCTACCAGGCCCAGGTTCTGCTCCAGCTACCAGGCCCAGGTTCTACTCCAGCTACCAGGCCCAGGTTCTGCTCCAGCTACCAGGCCCAGGTTCTGCTCCAGCTACCAGGCCCAGGTTCTACTGGGCTGAGTCAGAAACAACGTGGCTGAGGAGGAACTGGAAGAGATAAAGAAATCACTGAGCTTTATGTCAGAAGAAATTACAACAGTCTCTAAACAACAGAAAGCGATGATGGAATTAGTAGAGGAGAAAAAACGAGGACAGAAAAATCACCTTACTGGAAGAAAGAGTGTCAGAACTGGAACAATATTCAAGAATAAATGATGTAATAGTGACAGGACTTGAAACCACACACCAAACTTATGCAAGAGCAACAGCTACAGAGAGTGGAGAACCACCTGAACCAGAATTAAACTACTTAGAAAGGCAGGTGATGGACTTCCTTGGTAGCAAAGGGATACATCTAGAGGCCAAGGACATAGAGGGATGTCATCCTCTTCCACGTAAAAATAAAAACCAGAAACCTGCAATCATCAGATTTATGAACAGAAAACACAAGAAAGGACTGCTTAAACGAGGAAGGAAGCTGAAGGGAACCGATGTCTATGTAAATGAACAAAATGCAGACACTGCAAGGCAAGCGAGGCTTCTGAGAAGCAAAAGAAAATACAGTCAACATGGACTTCAAACTGTAAGGCACTCATTAAACTGAATGTGTCTCCGGAGCAGGCACAGATTCTGGTCATTAAGGAACTAACAGAACTAGAAAATACACGTGATAAATGAGTATATAAACAAGTTTACAAACTATGGTTCAGATCATCAGAATTCATGCTTCCAAACTTATTCTGGATCCTGTAAAAACAACACGGATAACTGGGCTTGATATCGGTCTTGATTCAAACCGGCAAAAATCACTCAACTGAAATGGATACAGATGATAAAATATATGATATTGACAATTAAATAGATGGAAATTTATATGAATTCAACATAAGTTGTGATTATATTGGAGAAGAACAATTGAACTGTGGGAGGATGACTAAGGACACAATGCCACTTATCCACATTAATAGTAGAAGCTTATTTCCTAAGTTATTAATTATCAAAGATCATTTAAATAAATTAAAAAACAAACTTTGTTTGATTGCTATAACAGAGACTTGGCTCAAATATGATATGATGGATGAAGTACAAATGGAAGGGTATGAACTTTATTTTGCAAATAGAAAAAATAAAAGAGGTGGTGGGGTTGCCCTGTACATGTAAGTCAGTATGGAATAAGAGGTGTGGCTCATCAATGGGTTAAAACTTATTTAGAAAAATGGAAACAGTTTGTTCAGATAAAGTGTAAATTATGTGTAAATAGATTATTTCTTCTGGAAAAGGGGGCAGAAATTATAAGATGTTTTTCTTCATTCTGCTCCTTTTCGTTCAAATTCTATTTATTGTTATGCATATCTTATTGTTTATATGTTTTATTTGTTTTTATTTTGAATGAAATAAATGAAGAAAAAGAGTGCAGCGGGTGCGAAGGAGACCCATCTAAAATGGCGGCCGGCCTCTACATGGGTTTTTTCAACATGGCGCTCGCGCACACGTTGTGCCCCACCCCGATCTGTGTACTGCAATATGGGAGTGAACCCGGTCCTGCTGGTGGGGCTGCCTGCCCGTAGACATGTCGGTGTGAGGCGCCACGACTGGAGGGACCTCTGTCCGTCAGAGCTGGAGTTGGGACAGTTGACCTCATCAAACCCCCTTGTCGTGTATGCCACTTCTGATTTGTAGTCTTTATATTTATGAATCTAAGTGTGGTGGGATGAACAGTTTGGTTCATGGAGATTTGTCCAGGTGGATGACATCCTGCGGGGCGGGGAACGCTGCCTTGATAAGAGGCAGATACCTGCTGCGCACACAGCTCTCTGATTCTAATCCTCAGCACCAAGCGTGTTTGAGGTGTCGATATGCCGGGTGCGACCAGCGCCGCCGCTGTCCATACGTAAGGTACACAGAGTGCGTAGGGCCTCGGTACCGGGGTGGGTGGGTGGGGGGGGGGGGGGGGGGGGGATTGGGTATTGTTACAGCAGCATATTGCAGGAAACATACTAATTAGTTGCCCACCGCTTGAGCTGTTGAGTGTTATCTTAAGTATGCAGCCAATCAGTCCAAATTCAGGCTACATAGATATTCTTGTAATTTACAAACATTACCCCCCCCCCCCCCCCCCCCATGCGCGCGCGCCCGCAGAGTAATGGTACAGCCCAAAGTTCTGTTTTAGCTTCACCGCAATGTTTTTATTTGATGCCTCGCGGCGCTGCTGAAGGTCCAACGATGAAGAGACAACACGAGTCTGGAGCAGAGAAAAGAAAAAAAAACCCAGAGATGACGCCCGCACATCCCTTACTGGTAAGTTCGTCTTTATGAGCTACTGGGCAGCCTGGCAGGTGAATTAGTTGAGTCTGAGCTTCTGTGTTGAGGCTTGTAAATATTCCGGTGCTACTAAGCAGAGACTAGTAACGGCAGGTTACTTACATGCACATCTTAGTTGAGCTTTGGAGACGTGTCAGTCCAAAAATCTAATTCACATTTTTTTTTTACATTTCAAAAACATTCACAGGATCAATGCTTAAATATTTACAAGGAGATGCAGCCAGGAGGGAGATTCTGAAGACGAGGAACCATTTTCAAACACTGATCAACAACACCAGCATCCCCAAACGTATTAAAACATATCTAAGATCAACAATGGGACAAGAACGCCTAAGTGGCCTTGCTGTCATTAGCATCAATGCTGATGGGTTGTCTTATGATAACTTGATTGATGATTTTGCCTCGAGGAAAGCTCGCTGTGTTATTTAGGACAACACTGCACTTTCTGTTGAGATTATTTGGTAAATTTTGGAACCTACAGTTGTTATGTTAATATTTTGTAATGCTGCTCTGGAAAAAGCTTTCTTAAATGGTATTTATATGTTGCTGCTGTTGTTGTTGTTGTTGGGGGGGGGGGGGGGGGGGCTTCTTGGCCAATCAAGCTTAGGGCCTCCAAAAGCCTAGCAGCGGCCCTGGGTGCGAGCGTGAGTAAAGTCCAGTTTACCGCCTCCTCTCTGTGACAGCCTGAATGGTGTATCTGTGGTGTGTGCTGGTTGGAAGCTGACGCTTATGCTCCAAACTTACCAGCCAGAGCAGGTGCGTAACCAGCGTGGCCTCCTCCTGTTTGGACGTTGTTCTCCTCGGGCAGCTGATCTCCTCTCCAGCTCGGCAGAGGTAAGCCAGTAGTTTTGGGTAACGGGGTGAGCCGATCCGGGGGCTTTTACCATCTGTCTATCTTGCAGCACGGTCAACCTGCGGTGTCGGCTGGTGGTCGTCTGCGTTGGCGGTGCGCGTCTACGGCTCCGCCACCTGGGCTGTGTTGGG